TTTTAAAAATATTTGTGTCTGTGAACACATTATGAAGTATAGGAAAATGTTTCATTACAAATTTGAGTGATGGCCATTTCGATGTTTTATTGAGAGCTGCACCAGATTTAATCTCTTTATTAYTTTATACCAGGTCTTGTGATCTCGTGAATTTTAATACCCAAGTTTTGAAAATTTAATACAAGTTTTTTTGAAAACTTTTCTTACAAGAATTAAAAAAAGTTTAGAGTAAACCCACATAGGTAACATTTTTATGAGCGTTTGGAAATCAAATTTTAGAATAGGTAATTGGATCTTTAAACTAAAAATAACAATTTTTCATTAGCATACATTTCTAGTTATTTTGTTATAAATCAAAAAGATATTAGCTGGGAAAACTTGAAACATGTCACTGTAATTTAAAAGTTGAATTATCATTTYCTATCGTTCAAAATATTTTAACTAATTTGAAGCTAACTATTCTCACCAGTCACCGTTCTACGGTACGTCACGTTGACGTCGTATTTATTTATAAGAATGAGAGCTGTTATTAATATTATATGAAATAACTTTATTTAAATTATATATAATATTATTTACATATAGTAATACTTTTGTTAAAGCTAATAAGTAGTTGATGCTTGACCAATAATAATAAAAAATAAAAATAAATAAATACTATTTAGTATTTATTAGTTTTTACTGTAGCGGCTATTTCATTTGTGATGATTCATAATGATTATTCTGATTGGATAATACTTAAAACTGGTTAGCGAAATAATTTTTTCAAACATTCATAAACTATTTTTCTTTAAATAGTAGATATTCAGTATTCGCTGAAAAAACAAGTTCTAAAGTAACAATCCAATAAAGAATTTTAATTTTAGTCAGAATATAAAAACCATTATATTTTTTAAAAATGTTCACATTTTTTGTTCACCTCATATTATAGCCATCGACATGGACGTCTCCAAACAAAATTAATTTTAAAAATAAATGCAGATTTTTTTTATACATTTTATGTATAGGTAGTAGRTACATTATTATGTTTCGTCATTATTACAATTATGTATTACAATAATTATGATACCTAGGTACATRGATAAATAAAATKTATACATTTTATTTAATAATAATYTTAAAATAACAAATTTAAAATTATTATGGTGGACAAGCGCCCCGTCATGTTTCCCCTGGGGATACCCATATAGCCATCATTACTCGAATACTCCTCTTTCGCCTTGAATTTAAACAATACAATACACATCGATACTTTTAAAATTATTTTTTTTTATATATTATAATATAAGTAGGTGCATTTAATTTTTTATAAATTGTCTTTGAATATTTTTTACGTGGAAACGTATACATAAAACCAAGGCTCGGAACTTAATGCACTAAAAATTACTCAAATATGCGTTAAAATACATCAAAATATGATGTATAATATGCAGTAAAAAAATGGAAAATATGCAAAAATATGCAATTTATTAAACAAAATACATTTTACATGCAAAATTGTAAACATAATTGTTTAAAAATTACTTACGATTTACAATATATATTTCATATCATGGTGCAAAATATTAATGCAGTGTTAAATTTGGATAAAAATAAATACAGGCCGGTCGGCGATCACTATATTATTACCTACGAGTTCTCAGTAGTAGGTATAGAGATAATATTATTATTGTTGAGTGCATTGAGAGCAATACAGTAATAGCCGTTGATGAATTAATTTATTTTGTCAAATGATATTAAATTTAGAATTTCGATTGTCATATATCTAATATTTTTTCGTTAGACTATAAATTTCTAAAAAAAAAAATTGTTTTCGTTAAATCTATGAAATATACATAAAAATGTTCTTAAACCTAAAATATGCGTATTCGTAMAATAAATAACGAAATATGCAAAATTATGCAACAAAAAATTTTGTATTTAAATTATACGTACGATGAATCGAATTTGCATCGAATAAGAATTTCAATATGCACTTTCTAGACAAATATGCAAATGTCTAAAGTTCCAAGCCTTGCATGTAACATTTAAATACTTTGAATACTTTCATACATAAGTTTTCARCTCGGCTGTTCGTTATATTTATGAAATCTTAAACAATTATTACTTATTTTGTTTTCACGATTTGTCGAGTTATAAAAAAAGCACCTTAATTAATACAACTACAGGTACATATAAAATACTAAACAATTTTAAAAGTACAAAATACAATTTTATAAATAGAATATGTAATAACAAATGAGTAATAATAGTTGATTGACTATSGACATACATTTATAAATTAAATATTTACATAAAACATTAAAACATAATATTAGGTATRATATAATATTTACAATTTACATTGCTATATTTTTCCAAAACTTCGATTTGGTAAAACAGTAAATTATTATCATTCAAATGTCAAAAATTACAATCATGGAACATTTAAATCAATGAAAATTTTAATTCACTAAGATTATGTTATTTTCTTAATCATTATATATAATAGAATGACTTCAATGACTAAGATCAAGTATCTGCAGAAAAATTCCAAGTCATAATACTTGCTTATGTTAGTGTTTAGTTTTCATTCGGAGGTTTGAACTTAGTCTTACTATTAAAMATTCAAAAATTTAAAATACCAAAAATGTTCATTACACCAAAAACTATTTACAGAAAAAAAATTTGTTGGAAAATAATCAACGTTTAGGTATTGCACAATTTAAAACTATTTAAATGTACCTATATTTAGAGTAGGAATTTTTAAGCAGTATAACTTATTTGCTGATGGAATTTTAAAAAAATAATTATGAAACTTTTGAAGCATTTACTCGAAAAATTTGAATACAACAAACTAAAAAAAATACACACAATTTTTAACGCCTTTTAAAAGGTAACACTTAATTTTAATTGCATATTATAAAGTAAAATATTTTTTGAAGTAGGGACCTCCTATATTGAAACTTTATTAATTCAATATTCAAATATAAAATACATAATAATTTTCAAAATACGAAATTAAATTTAAATGAGTTGATTATTTTTTTAACTCTGAACTACAGGTTGCTTTTTAGAAAAACATTTATAAAAATCAATATTACTTAACAAGTATTCTGCAGTACACATTAAGATTTATTTTTTTTAAAGTTAATGAGTAGTTATATAGTGACTTTGAATTATTTAAAATTAATAAAAAAAAACATGTAGTTGGTCTAATAAAAAAAAAAATAAATAATTTTAATTATGTATAGTTATTAGGTACTAATATATTTATATTTTTACATTCAGTTATTCAATTGTCTGTTTCTCAAATTTGTATTGAAAGGTATATTTTGGAGAATACATATTTGATATTATATTATATACACATAAGTTATAATTTATTTATTGACACAGAGACAGCATTTATAACTTATAAGACATTAAAACGCTGTCTCAGTGTCTCACCGCGTTWATTCTCGTACAATCCTCCCATCTATCAATACAACACGTCACCACCTACAGTTAGTTCAAATAACTTTACAATTTACGTGAGTACGTAACTATATGAAAACTTAATGGAAATTAAAATATAAAACTTTAAATTATTTAAAAAATATATATTTAAGTATATCTACTACAAATTGACAATATTAGATTTAAGCAAGTAGCGAGAAAACTAAATTTAATTTTTTTTTTGTGTGTGTGTGAGTAAATATTAACCAAAAATTAGGTACTTAAATCATAATAAATATATTTTTTCAATTTATTCAAAAATAATTATAAAAATGCATATTTTGGAGCATACACATAGAGACACTTATTGAATTAATATTAAAATTTATTGTATTATGGTATATATGTATATTTTGTATTTTATCAACTAATAATGTATTTGAAATAAATTTAACATGAATTACTATGGCAAATGGTAATAATATTACATTAATGGATTATACGTCTTGTTATTATAATTAGGTACCTATTAATATATACCACATATTATTATGATTAAATATACGTCTCTATTATATATATTATATTCTCCGATTTTCGTTAGTATAACCTGCAGTGGATAACCGCGCGTAAGCATAACTATAATAAAATTGTAATTTGTAAATATAACTATTAGTACAGAACTAATAATGTTCCAGTCTCCAGAAGAAAAAATGCAATTGTATAAAAAATACAAGTTTTTAAGACAGATAAATTTTATATTTTTAAAAATATAATAATTTTTAAAAATTKTTGGTTTGATTACTGTACGTTAACTTAGTGCAATAATGTTAGTCAACATAAACTTAATTATTTTTCCCAACTCTACTGGCTAAAAACATTTTAAAACCACCTTAATAAGTACATAGCCTTTTTAAGGATTTTACCGTGTACCTATATACAATTATTAYAATGTCAYTCCTCACTCAGACTATGTTTCCATGACYGAATGATTTACGYAGCACAATATTAAACGSCGTATACCTATATAGTAGCTGYTGAATATGACGAGACTGCACCCTCGTCGCCACGAAGAACCCCATTTAATGCCTAAGGGGATCGAACAATACAGTTGTATGTGTGTTGAACATCTCCACACGATTTAAAAAACAGTAATAAATACAGAAAAAGGTATACCTATCGGCCAATTTATAGTTKCGCGAGGACTGCAGTTTAATGACTATAATAATAATATAATATACGTATTATACAGGTACTACCAATGTATTTTTTTAGCCTTCAATATCGCSGATGAACGTCATTATTTTATACGTCTTGTATGATGTATTTGTATTAATATATTATATTATTATAAGTTARCAGAATTATTACTGAAATATTAAAAAAGAAATGTACCTACAGCGCGTYCTTACGTCACCACTGCCACTACCACATACAATATTTTATGGTGCCTAAACAAAATAATAAAACGACCGCACTGAGTTCTTCTCGTCTTTATTTTTCTCTACAGGTACCTATAACTATCACTGTACACCATAGCGACGAAAATCTACGAAACCGATTGGACCGTAACGCTCTACATTTGAACCAACGTTGTCGTATACAATCATCGTATACTATTATACGGCGGAGCGGGCTATTTTCACTTTCGTGATATATAAAAACGTAAATATTCCCGCAACAGGTATTCTCTCATTGTTCATGTTTTACGATTCATTGATCATTTACTTTTGCATAAACCGGCGAAATCCAATAATTACAATACAAATTACAAATTATAAACAATATGATGAATATCTAGAACATACCTATATTAAGTTATATCCACACGGACGGTTATSGCTGGACTATATATTCCGTCGAGTGCACACGCGGCGGCCGACGTAATAATACATTTAGATACAATATTTTGATTCGCGGAGGCGAGGACGAGCAGTTGTTGTTCACGCGAGTCGTGGAACGCGACTCCCGCCAGCCGACGCGGCCCGGTACACCCGACGCATGAACCGCCGCGCCATCGGTCATCGCGATACGTCCGTGTCGTTTTCCGCGCGCTCGCGAACCTGTGGCCCGCGCGCGGTATGTACCGGCCCGGCGGCGGCGGTGGCGGGAGTGAACAGCGGTCGGTCGGTTCTCCATTCACCAAACTATACCAAATACCGCTTATCTATGAGTATTTCTACACTTGTGGTAACCGGTTCAAATTCTTTCTCGATCATTGTCCGTCCGCGAAATAATATGATCGCAAAACAACATTATTATAACAATTAACTGAAATATTATTATTATTATTGTTATTTATACCTATATCTTTACGGCACTCTCGAGTATTTATAATTACGTAATACGATGTAAAAAATACGTATAATAGTTTAAAACACCGCTGCACAGGCGTAAATGCGTCATATCAGCCGTGGTGTTTCTCGTTCGAGTGTGGGACGAAAAGCAAACTCATCATAATATTATTATAGTTATAACCTTATAGGTAGTGCTGGTAGTGGTACTTATTATTTAGCAATGCATATTTTATTACAGTATCCTTGCGTCCTACTGCAAATGACGCCACTGTCGCCTCTGACCTGCACACGCAGCTATAATAATAGTACCTTACCGCCTACGCGTGTATAAAATACCTATATACTATTACTTATTTGAGTATATAATGAGTATAATTTTACTCATCACATCATATTTTAATGGAGGTGGACAACCGCTATTTCGATTATTTTAATACTTTTTAATACTTTTATATGCTCGGTTTTTTACCAATTTGTAACACTTTGTAACGTATAATTATAGCACTATAAATTATAATATTATTACAGAATAGATTAAATCTATTATTATCATATATTCTGTCATCATACACAATAATTACACGTAAGCCGGGTGATTCCTTAAAAGACTTTATTTTATCATTAAACGCTCATTATTTAAAAACGTATATTTTTGAAAAAAAATTTACAGTTTATCTTGTCATTAAAAACAATATTAAATTTTTTAAATAATATGTTTTATAATATATTTTATCCATACATTTTTTAAGTTTTAAATGTTCAAACAATAAATTTTTTTGCTAATTTTTGTACATGCATTATATCCCTAATTATGAGTTATAACTTAAAGTATTTAAACTAGCTATTTTAAAGTTTAAATGAATACATTGGGATGGTACGTGTTTGCCTCGAAAAATGTTGGTCTACTATAATATTATATACTCCGCTTATCTAGACTTAAAATACATAATTATATTACTCATAATTTAAATGTCGTCCTAAAATTCGATTTTTATGTTTTGAAATGCACAGGAAAATATTCTGTTTATGAAGATGAAAGCATTATGTTTTAATTCAAAAAAGTAAAAACCTTAAATAATTATTATAAGGTTAAAAAATATTTAAAAATATTATTTTGGAACGAATTGAAACCATGTAAAAAATATTTTCAAAAATATTAATAATATTTATTCATTATTGAATAATCGGTGTCTTCCGTTAAACACCTGGTTTAGTTATACGATCAATGACGAAAATAATTATATTTATTATTTATGTTAAAGCCCTGCTGGTTGCGTATGTCAAAAATTACATAGCATCATAGAAATTTAAGTAAATGACCAGTAATTTATGTAATTGGCAATACAAAATTGTTAATATTGTAAATATAAGCTAATACTTGTTGAACATTGTTGAAAAACTAAAAATTTATATTGAATATTGCATACTGGCAGTTGTTTATCCACACAATAACTCGTAGTTGTATGCGGCTCACGTCTTATTAAAATAAAAACCAATATCTATTTAATATTTACTAACGATAAAATTATAAAAATTATAAAATGTATTTATAAACATTTTGACACTCGATATCATTGTATTTATTCATGTGGCTCGTGGACGTATTCATGTTGGCCACCCCTGGTATAATAGATCTATTAAATTAATAAACTAATATTATGTTATCTAAAAACGTATAATATAGGTATAGGTACTTAATTGGTTTGCAAAATAAAATTTTTATATGGCTTATTTAAACGTAATAAGAAATAAAGAATAATAACTATATCATCGATAGTTATACTTGATCTGAAACTCACCTATAACATAATTATAAGTCCCAAAAGATTATTGGACCGGAATTCACATATCTCCAGCATCTTAAACAACACGTCGAGCAATTCATTCTCAGCCAAACCCATAATACTATAATTCTACACTACCTATCCCAAACACAATAAAGTGTCTTAATCATTTAAATACCGGACACTGCAGGGCCGTATTAGCACATAGCATTAAAGGCACTGTACCTAGGGCCTACGATAGTGTATTAGTGTTAATCCTGGTCTAATACTATTGTTTAACGACACATGGCTAAGTCAAATGATATTGTGGTAGGCAATCTATAACGAACTATCAAAGAATTAATTTTTTGTATGATTTTCCCATCATAATATATCATGGCCGTAGTGCGAACTGTATCATTATCGTTACAAGTTCAATACCACCTGATAGTTGATTCACAGTTAGCATTTCATGTTTTATCACTTTTTTAAGTATTTGTTTTTAATGCGCATACATTTTTTAGTGTGGATATTATGGATGTCGATACTATATGCGTAACAAATTCAACAAATGTTCTATTTAATAAGTTGATTAGTAAAAAACGGGTTGGAAATATTTCCTATTTTAGCTTATCAGATTACCTATACGGCTATACATGTAATGACAAATGAGTATATTTCAAATGTTTTAGAGCCAAAAAAAAATATTAGGTAAGTACTATGAAATTGAGGAAAACTGTAAAATATACTGTAGGTTTGTAAATACGAAATAGTATAGTTTATGAAAAAGAATAACACTTKATAAACTAACTCTAGAAAATCTTCCAATTGCATGAGAAAAACTATTTTCTGCAATTTAAATAACAAAGCAAAGATTTTAATAAAAAGTTTATGTGAAAGTCAATCCAATAATATCAGTGATAGAATTAATAGAAATTAATTAAAAAAGGCAATGAATAAAATATTTAGTAATCTTGATGATAATGTGTGTATCAATAAAATTTTAAAATGTCTGTACCTATGTTTAAACTTAACATAATATCGTATGATATGTACCAATATGTAAAGCTGTAAAGAATCTATTTACCTATTATTTTATATTTATTTAATTAAATCATATTTTTATTTATATAAGTTTTTTACTATATGAATGTAATATCGTTGAACTCCGTATACTAAAGATACGAGCTTATACCTCAGTTAGTACAAATAAGTACACGGAAAAAAAACAGTTGCTGCAACTATTTAAACATTTCTACTAACCCAAGATTTAGAGTTGCTATAGTGACAGCAACTCATTTAGTTATAAACACTTTTTCCATTTAGTTGATTATTGTATAGTTGCAACTACTATACAAATAGTTCCAATGGTGACTATTATTTRTAGTTCACTTGACTAAATACATAGTACTTTTTACTGTCATATATAGTACTAAGAACTGAAATATTATAATCATTCTAACTAAAATTAACAGTTATATTTCAGTTTGTATAGTAAACATAACCAAGTTTTTATAGTTATAACAACTATATTTAATAGAGAAATAAACTATGTATTCAGWTGGGGATCCGGGTAGGGACCCCCCTCCTATTCGCAAAAAACTTATTCACGTGGTGGGCTTACCTTTTTTTTGGGGGGGGGGGATAAGCTCGTAACCCCCTAAGCTGCCAATAGATTATCACTGCCCGCCCCTGCTTTTCCTAGTGCTGGAAACCTGTATAATGTATATATTATCCAATAACTATTAGTGTTGATTTCTAATTTGCATTTAGATAATTAAAATTAATAATTGTTGGATTCAAAACAATACAAGTATTTCAAATCATTTAAGCTATAGTAAGTAAGAACAGGTAAAGGAATGGATCCAAAGATCAAAATACAAGAATAATATATGTATTAAATATTTATATTTTATTATTCAATAAACAATATGTACTTAATATATTTTATTATTTAATATGTTCAAAATATAACTTCATATAAAATGCATATGTTTAAACAATATGTTCTTAAAAGGGTATACAATACAACAATTAGTACAAATATAGGTATTATTAATGTATTTTATTGTAATTATTTAATTGTAATGTTTGTGGCTGAACAAATAAAATAAAATAAATACCTTATCAGAAAGGAGTAATATTATTATATGATTACCTACTATATTTACTATTATGGATCAAATAAGAGCTATAATTATTTTAATATTCTAATCCAGCTATTTTGCAGTCGCATAATGGCCGTAAATTCATAAACTCGAATATAACTAAGCTCCATAATATACATGGGAAGATGTCAAAATTATTCATGGTAAACTGGAGGCCAGCCAGGGCCAAGATTCTATGGAGCATAGGCTCCGTGGATGGCAGAAAGCAATAGTACATCTGGGTTCTGAGTGACATTTTTACAAATTGACCTCTTTAATCKTTATTCTGCCGATAACATATCTTCCACAGAACCAATTTCCGTCACTTTACCACGTTTCATCTCAAGTTTAAATTCGTTATAATCACTCCACTTATCACTCTTCTTCATACAGTTGTAAGCTCACTCGCCACTAAAAGCATTATATCGCCTTAATTACTTTCGTCCAAATTAATTTATTATGTAATCTGTACTCTATTTATTATATATACTTACTCATAATGTCTATACTATTTGAACTAAAATCCGTATCGCTGCTATTATGTATATTTTCTTCTATATGATTATTAATTTATCTTGTTTAAAACCATAATTGTAATGTATTATGTATTATCGATAGAATTTTAAATGTTGATCTATCATAGTATTTACTAATAGCTAATAAACAAAAAAAAAATCTTTATTCAGTAAGAAAATTATATGCCTAAAACATATGAATATATACTATGTCCACACTCAAGTTTTAATTTTTTTGAAAATATTATTTTACATAATGCCTTATTTATAATTTTATGTACAAAATACATTAAATAATATTCTGCTTTAGAATATAAATTWTAAAAATGTGATGTTCAAAAAAGTAAGACCCTTAAAAACGGTAATAGTTTATAATATAAGAAGAAGATATTGGTACCAAAGTTGATATTGATCGAGCATCACGCATGTGTCACCACGAAACCTATAAGCAGTTGTTATTATTAAGGGTAAAAGAGATTTATAAAATACTTTATTACTATAAGTATGTCAGTGTTTATACAATTATTTATTTGAATTTATAGATGCTCGATTTTAATTAGGTACCTACAGAGAACTACATAGCTAAATAATTATATACTCGATTGCAGATCGATTCTTAGTTCTTACAAACAATTATCCGTTGACATCAAATCTGTGAATAATGAAAAGGAAATTACGGTAAGAGACGCTGCAGGTTTTGGAAGTGTTATTACTGAGTCACAAGATTACAAAAGGTGCAGTTCGCAGTTGAAAACTAAAGTGCGGAACAAACAAATGCATTTGTCAATCAGCGAGGATATTGTGAAACTCAAAATGTCAACTAACAGCATATCTTGCGAAAATAAATAATAAAAAGGTGGTCAAGTGGGTCTACTATACCATAGTTGTCGAGTATGTCATTGTAATGGATGTGTTGAATTACTTAAATGTTAAATTTGAATTCAATGATAAATCATTGTATAAGAAAAACGATTTTGAGCGAAGGCGGTGTGTCAACCTTGCATARGTACTTGAGTAAATAATCATCTTACTGGATGGTCAAATTAATTTTTATGAATGTTTGATTTTAAATGTTTTCAATATTGGATAAGTACACTATATATCGTTTTCTCTGAGTAAAAAGCTATACCTRCAATTTGTTACAAGATTTCTTATAAATTGTTGTAATTGCCGTTCAATAATATTTAAGCTACATATTATATTGTATGTTTAATTAAGCGTTAAATTTTCAAATGTTGACAAAATTCATCGGTCATAATAATTTTCAAATTATTTTGAGTTAAAAATTGAATAAAATGTTCAATTTTCATAGCTAAACCGCTAAACGTGTAACGATTGAAAATTTAAAACAAGTTATGCTTAAGTATTTCATATACTAAAACCAAAAAATCTAAGAATTATATTAATACAGATTTTTTCTCTAGATGTTGTTAAATTGTAAGTACAAATTTGRAAAAAATAAATATTAAACCAAGCAAACAAATTTTAGTTATATTTTAAATTTGAAAACATTATTGGCACTTAATATTTTTAAATTATCTGTATCAAGTGAAATATTTACGGCGGCAAAAATAACTTCAACATATTGTTCTAGACGTTTCACTAATAATAAAATAAATTACTTAAATAGCAATATAGGTAATATCATAAAATATGACTAGTAATAAAGTCTCTCAGACCTTCGTTTAAAATCGTTTTTCGTACTACACCTCTCTAAACGTCTGCCATAGACCATAGTTATGTATCAACAGTTTTGTATCATTATTCAAAAATATAGGTACTACTTCAAGGACATTAGCACATTACAACATTAATTGTTTTATTTTAATTATATCTGGAACTTGAGCCCCCCCCCTGGCTAAATTGATCAAGCTCCGCTTATGGCTCCCGTGTTATTTAATAGTTAATTCTATTTTCCCCTTTAAATGTTCCAGTTTTAAATTTTCGTCTTTCAACGTGCACACTACTGCATGTCTGCACTATATTTGAATTTAGTCTCATGCTATGTTTTAATCGTAAAAATACCTATCTTATTTCTTATATCTATCTATCTATGTATCTTATTATAGTATTCTATTTAAGCCTGTTGGATTAAAAAATGCTAAGAGTTTCATTGCTTCATAACATTTACATTCAACACAGAGTGAACATTTGACAGAATAATTAAATTACTATATATACTTTTAAAATTTATGAGAGACAAGTAAAAATTAATTGTAAAGGCTCTATTCATGAAACTTTTCTTCCAGGTTTTTTTTGTTGGAATTTTTGCACCGGAGTTTGGGGATACCTTTATATACTACCACTTAGCACATATAAAAGGCAATTATATTAATTAATAATAATCATGAAATAAATAATAATAAATTATGATTATTATTACCTATTGAGTAATGGTTATTGTTTAAAATCACCAAAAACAAAAAAATTAAAGCAAAAACATTCAATGTAACTATTGATTAACTTTAGTTAAGCACATAATTGAATTTGAACAGCTCCATAAAAATATAAAATTAAAAATAGGTACTTATAAAATGATTTGAATTCTAAAAAGTGCAGGCATCTATTACTCTGGAGGAAAATATTTCATCCATAAATCAAAAAATTCACATATTTTTTATCAGTTATACCATAGAACCCCGTGGAACCATAGATCAGGTCTACGGTGTTTATACCACAGAATAGATACTGTGCTTTTATCATAAACTACGATAAAAATAAATACTTTAAAATTGTAGAAACACTATAAAGTATAAAGTATAAACATTGACATAGTTTGAGACGTTCGAGTATATAAAGTAAAACCATTGATTATAGAATTCTAAATCTATCCTATAAAAATATATAATCAGTGGTAAAACACTAAAATATTACATTTAAAAACTTAAGATATATTGTAAGTGAATATATGCAAGGTGTATGTTAAACTATACATATTTTTGAAGCTTAAATTTGAGTTATAAAATTCTAATATATAGTATTTATTATAAGTCAAAATCTGCAAAAGTATTTATTTTTATAATAATACACAAAACTATTTTTTAAGTTCAATATTTTTTATTACATCATGGTGAGCCATTTCTGCAACATAGCTGTAYCTAATATTTACAATATTTTATGTTCTTTTATTTTCTAGGCCACTGATGATGAGATAGTTTGTCAAAATATGTCAAAAGTTAAAATTAATGAAGAGGATGAAGATTCTGGAGATAATTCTTCATCAGAAAACAGTAGTGGTAACAAAATAAACCTAGAAAATAATAAATGGTTTATTTAATGCAATTTTTTTTACACTTAGAAACTAGTGATGATTCTGTAGAAATTGAAATACCTTTCAAAGTTGGTATGTGGGATTTAAAACAATGTGATCCAAAACGATGTACTGGAAGAAAATTAATGAAGTTAGAACTGATCGATAAACTTGGGATGTCTGCTATGTTTAATGGTATCGTTCTAACACCTATTGCTACTGAAGTAAAGTAATTGTGCTCATTATTGATGAGATAAATGCTAATATTTAATGCTGTGCAGAGTGTTTCAGCTAAGGACTATCAAATCATAGCTAAATATGGTGTGGCTGTTGTGGATTGTTCTTGGGCACGACTTAATGACACTCCATTCCACAAGTTGCAGCACAGAAAAGCAAAAAAAAAYTTGCGATTGTTGCCATACCTTGTTGCTGCTAATCCAGTAAACTATGGTCATCCTAGTAAGCTATCTTGTGTAGAAGCTTTAGGTGCCGCCATGTACATTGCTGGTTTCAAAAAAATTGGTGATTTGTTCATGTCCAAATTTAACTGGGGTCCAACATTTATACGCCTCAATCAAGAATTATTTGATGGCTATGCTAAATGTAAAGATGGGAGAGAAATTGTTGCTTATCAAAATCAATATTTAGACCAACTGGGTAAAGCAATATTTCAAATTATATGTTATTCATACTTAAACAGTTTATTTTTTAATGMAAATATTTTAGATAATGACCATTGTGCCAGTAACAGTATAGAATCAAGCAGTGAGTCTAGTGAGGATTATGAAGAATTAACTGTTTGAAATTKATAATTTAATTTATAATATAAAATATACATTTTTTTATCATGTCTGAATATTTTCTAAAATAAAGACTGATCAATACTACTTCCATAATTTATTCTATTAAAAAGAGTAATATTCACTTATTGCTATTGTATATGGCCAGTTGTACATTATATTATAATGGGCCAATACTAGATATTGGCTGAAATCAGTGGTATAGGTTTTGAAAAAAAACCTATCAAAATGCATAGTATTTCACAATTTAGGCTATATTATCAATATTAAATAATCATTTAATACCATTAATATTCAATGTTTTCACTTTTCTAGGTAATATTTGTATTCTCGGGTACTGGTTTTATTATATATTTGTTGATGGTATCAGTTTTATGGTGGAATCAGCTCATGTTTCAATATTTCCATATTATGTATATTATTAGGTATCAGTTTTATATCGGCAGCATATCTTAGATATCGATAAAAAAGAGGTTTCGTCCCATCCCTAAATATAATAGATCAACCAACTAATTCATCAAAGAGAAGAAAACTAATTGTTTTTAAATAATTATATCATTATGTGTTACAATAAAAGATAACTTAAAAATATTTAATTAGGCCATTAGGGCAATTTTGACTTTTGAGGTTATAGCCATATGGACAAAAAAAAGAATTTCACATATTACTAAATGAGTTCTCTTCTTAAGCAATCATTCCTAACCACAGAATACAATGTATAACTTATATGTTCAYTGTACACTCAAATATAAATAAATGATATATACAATATACCAGTAGTATGGCAGTATGGCTAGTTATTTTAACCTACAGAGAAAAACTTAGCCATATTTTATAAATCTTAAAAAAAAAAAAATTATATTTGTTGTTAATATCTGATATTTATTGATTTTTTAGCTTCTAGATTATTTTCCTCATGTCATAATTTTTAGATTCAGAGGGGTGCAAAACAATGTATTGTTGCACATTAGTTTTACAGGACACATTGTTTTTTTTTCTGTCAATCATCAACTTCGGTAGGATTAAAATGATCCAATTTTCTACTTGACTATATATTTTTKTGGATAGAAAAAGATATCTATTTGGTACGTTTGGAGGAAAAGTAAAAAATTCCAATTAATTTTCAAAAAACCAAAATAATTAAAGAAAAACGGGAATTTTCACTGAAACCAATTTTAAATGAAATTAATTTCTTTTTTGTAATTCAAAAAATACAGTAGACATATGAAATTTCATCAAATGTTATTATTGGCATCTCTTATACACCATTAATTGTTCATAGTATTTGAATTTTTTTTAAATATTGTCAGTAAAAAAATGTTTGCTGGGTCATAAAACTTGAAAATTCAATGTTTCACATAAGTTGTTAATACTGGAATTAAAAAAAAAGTTTAGCGTTAATTCATAATAATTTTTATTTTAAAATTTGCAAATTACTTTCCAACTAAAAATTAATGAACAATTTTCTTTCCAGTATTAATAGAACATTTTTCATGGAATTAAAAACTTACAATATTAGGTGATTGCCGGTAAATTATTAAATTCCAATCAATGAGTTTATGATATTTAGTTGTTAAGTACCACAAGTCAACACATAAAATACTCACCAACTATTGATATTAAAATTTCCCATTTTATATATAACAGTTTTCAAAATAATTTGATACTTATTAAGCAATAATAATCACGAACATTTTTTATTTTAAATTAGTCAATGAAAAATATTTTTGCAGGGTCAAAAAGCTTGAAAATGTATGCAGTGCAAAAATAATAAATATACGTCTTTTTTTTTTAAGCATTTTAAGTTAAAATGTTAAAAAATTTAAACCAAGGTTTCTCATGAGTAATTAATATTGTAGATAATCAAAATCTCCAATAAAAAATATTAATTCATGATGGACATTTAAAGTTCAAATATAAACAAAATTAGATATTGAAATGAAAAATAAAGATGAAAAATATTACTCGTTAATAGATAAATGAACTTTTAAAGTAGGTATAATGATTTTAATGATTTCACAAAATATAATTTAACCAACTGTTAGTATAAAATATAAATTAATGGCTATGTATAAAATAAAATAAACTTATACTAATATTGATAAAAGTCTTCCTTCAAGATTGTTTTACATATTGAATTAAAGTTTAATACATCTATTTCAATGGCCCTCTTTACATCTAATGTACATTAGAGCTGCAGATCAGGTACCCACTTGCTCACCTTTTTTATATTTGTTCTTCATTACTTCTATACTATATGCACATAATATAATATGTATAMTAAATATTAATACCAATTATCCACCTTATCTACTTTTGGAAGAAATCACTCCACTAAATTTCCTTCACTTTGCCAGTATACAGCATCTGATTGGAAATTAAATAACATTTTTGCATATTAAATTTATACTTTTTAATTGTTTCATAACTATTAACCGAACAGAATAAATTTATATAAATACATGCATAAAATTGTATTTCTTATAAAATTATGGATATAGACATTTCAGTTATAATCTAGTCATTAAGGAATAAAAAAAGTGAAACATTTAACATCAGTTAAAAGGTACCATCCACATTCTGGTTATAACTGATAGTAATATTAAAATAATTTTACAAATTATTATTATTGCTAATTGGATTTCAAAATAAACAAATAATATAATACAAATTATCATGGTCAACATACAATTGAAAAGCTGATACTAATTATACAGAAAAAAATATTAAAACACAAATTTGATGTGAACAGTCATACTTATTCGGTTTAATGTAAAAATTACGCTTCATCTTGTTCCTCCTTTTCATCATCATCGCCTGCTAACTCGGCTTCTTCCTCTTCTAATTCTTTCTTGGCAGCCTCTTCAACTTTAGGATCTCTAAAGTAGTTTGTGATGATTAGTTTAAAAAAAAAAAACTGTTAACTATAAGTTAAGAACTTACTTCTTTATTTTATCTTTATAAAATTCTATGATGTGTTCTTTACGCGTTTGCTGTATAAATGATATAGGTGCAGAGTAGTACTGCTCTTTAACATTGGAACCCCAACCAGAATACTAAAAAGTAAAAACATTGTTTAGAAAGCAAATATAACCAAAATGACTTTTAAATAAACTTTTTATTTTATATTTACTTAACATATTACTTACAACGGAAGTATTTTTGTATAATACTTTACCATCCTGCTTGAAAGGAATATATTTTTGTAACAATGCCTTTCCATCAATTTTCCATACAGGAGGGTTACCTTTACCAATCATATCAGTCTTGAGTACGACAAATGCTCCTGACTAAAATATAAATTTCAACATAATTCATGCAATTTAACATTGAAAATAACTATATATACAGTGAACTTTTTAGCTGGCTTTGCATTTGGTCCTTGGTTAAGCTCTTCTTCCTCTTCTTCTACATCTTCATCATCTTCCTCTTCCTCTTCCTCTTCTTCCTCTTCATCGTCGTCAATATCTTCATCTTCTTCAAATTCTTCATCATCTTCTGGCTCTTCTTCAGGCTCCACTTTTAATTTAGCTGCTCTTCCTCGACCTCTAGCTGATGTCGGTGTAGGTGCAGGAGTTTTAGATTTTGATCCTCTTTCTTTTTTAGGTAGTATTTCTTCTTCATCTTCATCATCAGAAACCTTCTGTTTCTTCTTTCTACTAGCAGGTGTACTTTTGGCTGGTCGTCCTCGTTTACCAGGAGTTTTGGCCTAATGAATAAATTACATTTTACTATTTTACCATAAAATATAACATTAATAAAACATACAGCAGCTGTTGGAGCCCATTCGTCATCCGAATGGTCTCCCACTTCTTCAGGTTCATCTACTTCAAATTCATTTTCTGAGTCACCCGCTACAACTTCCTTACTTTTCATCATGACTAAAAACATAATTTAAATTAAATTAAGTAGGAACACATTATGTTTTAAGTTATAACAAATTTAGTCGGTGCAATATCATTTTTTGTTTTTTAGATGACTTATACAAAAAAGTCCATATTGTTTCATAATACATTATTTTTGAGTTTTTWAAGCATAAATAACTTTTTTTGTAGTGCTGAAATCGAAAAAAATAAAAACAATATTGCATAGACAAAATTCTCCTTTTTATATGGTGAAMATTTTGTTAAATAAATAGTTTCATTAATCTAACTTGTCAAAAATAGTTTGGCTATTTTTTGTTGTTGTATCTATTATTTTTATTAAATTCTACTGTAACTATTATTTAATACTATATACCAAAGGTATTTAAACTGTAGATAGCAAGAGTTTGTGAAGGGAGCCATGTCAAAGTACTGGAAACCAACATTGTACTAGGTCTATCACGCATAATGACCATATTGTATCTGCCTGTGTTGATTCAATTTATTCATAATAATTTGGGAGCCGTAAAAATATTGTAAACATCCCAGGAGGCGCGGGATGAAACKTTTGAACACTGCTGCTAGATAYATAGTTATACTTTTGAAATGTTAAATAATTAATCTGGAATTGAAAAGTTATCTTTAACATATGAAATATGAGAGAAATACTTAAGTTGTAGGACGTCAGTCAACTAAACCTAAGA